CACACACTGAGCAGCCACACAGCAGGGATCAGTACAACTCCCTAGCAAGTTTACTGAAGGTATGCAGGAATAAATCTGCTGCTCTAAATCTGGCAGCTTTTGTAACTGTTATGTTAAATTTAATAGCTACCTCCAAATACTTAATCCACCTGAAAATGTTACTACTGCTATCTAACAGGTAGTGTATCAGGTCCTTGTTTAAGAAAATAAAAATAAAAATCCTAGGTCTGAGTGTTCATACTTATGTCCTTTCTAGTCCTACACAGAAAGTTTCACGTCATTTCTGCTGGTTTGAGACAGAACAGGGATAAATCATTCCAATTCTGTCATGCTTTTGCCAAGTGCCCTCAGAACACACACCTCCCCCTCGATTAAGGAAACCCTTTATAAAACCTTTTTACAATTTAACATGGAGTCATGAGAGTATATACATTACTTCTGACTAGTAAAGAAAACTCAGAAACGTACTAACGTTTGGGTACCTCTGAGGAAGGCAACTGCACGCCTATCAGGTAATACTGTCCTGTTTCTTTTGATCTTCTTGGTAGTTGCAGGCTGTAAGGGTGAAAGAGAGGTACGCGTGGCCAGAGAAATTTGCCTTACACAGCATTCCTTAATGAATCAATAATGACAAAAGGGAAAATGTTCAGTAGTCCTGAACACTAGTAATTTACCCATGTATTATGCCCAGGTGTGTATGTTCAAGGTCTCAGCACAGTGCTTTGTCAGGCTCCTTGTTAGGCCAAATTAAAGACCACAGGATCTACTTAGATTCTTACCACTGTATAAGCAAAAGTATATTTTAGCCTTTTATACACTTTTTTGTACATCTTTTTCTACTTTGTCAGGTAGTGAAATCTTACAATGCCTTGAAATACTGCTACACAACTGGTCTATACTGGGACCCAGTTCTAGTATCAGCACATCTTAATTCCCAAGTTTTTTTTTGGTGAAATGACGCAACAATAAATTCACAGTAACTACAAGTAATTTCAGGTTTCCATTTGCCTCAAGGCTTCTTGATACATGCTGTTTCAGGGACAGAAGGGATCAGAGAAAAAAAGTAAATGTTGATAAAATAGCCCAAAGTAAGCGTCAGCCAAAACATCACAAAGATTTGTGCAGTCCTTCCAAAGCTTTGCACAATGTTTTCCATGTCTTTCTCAACTGTACAAGACAAAGCAACAGATCTGGGGTTTTAACAAGCCTTTTTACCTAAACAGAGTTAGTGCTCATAAACGGCAATGTTTCTCAGCGTACTGCTTTCCATTTCCTGTTTGGTGAGGTTTTTGGGTTTTGTTTGGTTGGGGGTTTTTCGACAATGAAAGTTACTTTAAAGGATTTGTCTTGAGCATTAGCCCTCATTGATGTTCTCATCCAGGGTACTACGAAAGATATCAGACACCACAGCAGAACCTTCCTAGAAGTTGATAGCTTTATTCCCACACACATATGTATGAAAAAAAAAAGGAAAATTTAAAAAGGCTGCTGAGAGAATCTAGGCGAGAATTTATAATGAATTAACAATAAATCAGATAGCAGCCCATGTCCATCTCTAAGGTAGGGACATATCAGTAGCTGCACACATGAAAACATTAAAGGAAATGTAGAAGACAAAAATAATTACTTTAAGGAACAAATCGTACGTAATTACTTGAATTGAGGAAGGTCCTCAGTTGACGAGTATAAATAAATTGTTCACACATTTGGTGAGACACATACTAACTGTTCATGTCTCCCCGCAAGCTGCAACCTGTTCAAGGCTACTGAAATGTGAGGGGAGAAAAATCCCAACCACCTACACCTTTTTCGTCCAGCCAAATCATCCAAACAGAAATTAATAAAGCTCGGCGCTTTCGTAAGACTTCACATCTTCAAAGTACCGAGCACGCATTAGCTAATCAATGAATTCCCCTGTCTTGAATCCAAAGTGCATTAGAGGAATGGAGGCCAAATCACAAAAGCTGGGGCAAGCCTGACCTCAAACATCTCACCAGCTTGCTGCCACGGGGGCTGGCTGAAACCCCGGCAGGAGCCGATCCAGCGCTCCTCCGCTTCATGGCGCTTCATGACTCCAGCCAGCTGCTACCTCCCCGCCACGCTGTAACCCATAGCGGGGGATCTAGAAGTCACCTTCAGCACCCCCTGCTTGGGTCCTGCCCGCTCGGGAGCTCCGCTACAGAGGATTCGCTCTCCGCGCAGCCAGGGCCAAACGAAGGCTCCTCGGCGGAACCGCGACCAGCCACCCCTGCGCGGAGGGGAAAGGTAAGCAGGAGCGAGCTGGGGGAGCCAAGAGCCTGGCAGAAGCCCACTGCCTCGGCTGCGGCCATTCAAAGCAGCCGTCGCCCTTGGCCAGCCAACCCAACCGG